CTTCAAATACACACTTCATGGGTTTTTCCATCTTCTAAAAATAGCACCATTTTCGAAGAACGAACGAAGTATACCTTTCTTCAAAACTTTACATTCGCATCGAGATTTCTTGTGATTCTCTCAATATCAGCAAATCGTTTGAGGAGGAAAAAATGTACGTAATAGGTAGCATTGCGTGCATTGTAGAATCTGCAATTTATAAGTGACGTCCAAATGTCCATACGTAAAATATCTGAGATGTTCAAAATATATCAGTAAAAACTAGAATGTAAATATGTTTACAACATTAAAGAAAAAAAATAATATTAGATATGGGAATAAATGATTTATTCTGGGTTGGGTTAGGGTGATTTTTGTTATTTTATTTACATTAATTAATTTATTTATTTTTTACATAAGTTTACTGTTTAGAAGGGGGGGGGGGGGTGAATTTTTTTTATTGATATTTTTTATATACATGTGGGGAACAAATTAATTTTTTTTTACCTTTTGATTAGTGTTTCTGTCAGTATATATTTTAGTCTACATTGCATAGTAATGTTATGATCTGTAAAGAACTTCATGCACATGGAAGCTGCAAAAACGTAGGTCATTTTGCTAATCTTTGTCTGGGTCAAGGTCATTGTGACGAGGTCAATCTTCTGAACAAATGAATCTGACTAAAGTGAATTGTATTCAATATGACAATAACCTGTTGTTTATATATGCTCATCATTTCATTAATTATCACATATCCCATGACATTTACAAAAAATAATGACTTAAATTTTTAGGGGTACATCGCTATGATACAGAATATAGATAAATATTGTGGATGGAATAATTTTTTTCTGTTGTTATATTATCACAAATACACCTTACACAAAATTGATATTGTTCTTTTATTGATCTTTCCCACCATATTTTTCTTTGACAGAATATTACAAACGGTTTTATGGAAAAAATCGCCAAAATTGTCACCCAAAGTAGACAGGTTCTCTCGATTACAAGTATTCATATATCATACCTGATGAATTTGAACTTAAAAGAATGCATATATCCAATCTGTACTGCTTAGTGTTGCAGCTGAATACATGAAACATTCAACTGTTTGCGACTAACTAGAGTAGAGGTAAAAATTACATCTGTACCTTTTGTCTATTAAAGGTGCACCAGTGGTTAGAGGGTACAGGCATGAAAATAAGTATAGAAAAATTATGTTTGGACAGAATTGCATGAAACTTTGGGAAATATTGCCTGAAGTGTTGTCCATTATAAGTAAACTGAATTTAGTCATATTCAAGGTCATGACCATTACACCCCTAATACCTTAATTCCTTGTTGTAATCTCTTACATTGGCCTCTCTTGGTCTTTGATGAACATTTGATAAGACAAGTTATTTTTGTCTCATTTTTATTTATCTATTACTTACAAGTCCACCTGATCATTAAAACTATGAAAATACTTTCTGTATTATACAATAAAAATTCTTGCATAATTCTCTTATTCTATTAACCTTTCAAGTACATTATTTACAGTGATTAATTATCAAAAGTAAACGGCAAAGGGGAATAACTCCTCTCAGTAGAATGCAAATTGAGCCCTGGCTAGGACCAGAACACTTGACCAAATGGTCCAGATGTTCAAAAATCTGGTAAAAATACACTTCCTTATTACAACTTTTACTCTTATTGCCTCTGATATGCCCAAGTGCAGAGAAGATTTTTAAAGAAATAATGCATTTTTCCTACAGATTCACTATATTATCAATAGAGCCCCCCCCCCCCCCCCCCTTCACCACCGAGAAACACCAGAGCCTCTCACCCTGGGACCAGAAGTTTGCTCTCCATAAGTAATCACTTTCTTTACATGTATCTGCTTAACATTAAGGAGCTGACAGGATTATTTAATAGAATTAATGCATTTTCACTATATTATCAACAGCCCCACCCTTACACCAGCACATCTGACCCAGGGGTCATGCAATTCACTACTCTGGAAGAAGCACTCTTGCTCATCATAACTATATACTTAGCTTCTCTGCTTTTTAACCAGAAGCAGAAAAGAATATTTTCAAAGAAATTTTGCTTTTTCACTATATATTCAATAGATCCCCCCCCCCTTTTCACCAGAACCCTTGACCCTGGGGCCATGAAATTCAAAATTTTAGAAGAGGCATCCTTGCTTATCATAACAATGTACTTAGTTTGTTTAAATAGTACCCAGGGGCAGAGAAGAAGATTTTCAAAGAAATAATTCACCTTCACTATAGGAGCTATATAGCCCCAACCTAGCACCAGAACCCCTGTCCCTGGGGCCATGAAATTCACAATTTTGGAAGAGGCGTCCTTGCTTATCATAACAATGTACTTTGTTTGTTTAAATAATACCCAGAAGCAGAGAAGAAGATTTTTAAAGCATTAATGTATTTTCACTCCTATAATAAATAGAGCCCAGTCCTAACATCAGAACCCCTGACCCAGGGGCCATGAAATTCACAATTTTGGTAGAGTCACACTTGCTTATCATAACTATGTATTTCATTTGTTTCAATAATACCCAGGAGTAGAGAAGAAGATTTTGAAAGAAATAATGCACTTTCACTATATGATCTATATAACCCCCCCCCCCCTCCCCCCCGTACCAGAACCAATGACCCTGGGGCTATGAATTTCACAATTTTGGTAGAGTCACTCTTGCTTATCATAACTATGTATTTAATTTGTGTTAATAATACCCAGGAGTAGAGAAGAAGATTTTCAAAGAAATAATGCACTTTCACTATATGATCTATATACCCCTCCCCCCCAGCACCAGAACCCCTGATCCTGGGGCCATGAATTTCACAATTTTGGTAGAGTCACCCTTGCTTATCATAACTATGTATCTTATTTGTTTAAATAAAACCCAGGAGTAGAGAAGAAGATTTTGAAAGAAATAATGCACTTTCACTATATGATCTATATAGCTCCCCCCCCCCCCAGCACCAGAACCCCTGACCCTGGGGCTATGAATTTCACAATTTTGGTAGAGCCACTCTTGCTTATCATAACTATGTATCTAATTTGTTTAAATAAAACCCGGGAGTAGAGAAGAAGATTTTGAAAGAAATAATGCACTTTCACTATATGATCTATATAGCCCCACCCTAGCACCAGAACCCCTGACCCTGGGGCCATGAATTTCACAATTTTGGTAGAGTCACCCTTCCTTATCATAACTATGTATTCAATTTGTTTCAATAATACCCAGGAGTAGAGAAGAAGATTTTCAAAGAAATAATGCACTTTCACTATATGATCTATATAGCCACCCCCCCCCCTCCAGCACCAGAATCCCTGACCCTGGGGCTATGAATTTCACAATTTTGGTAGAGTCACTCTTGCTTATCATAACTATGTATTCAATTTGTTTCAGTAATACCCAGGAGTAGAGAAGAAGATTTTGAAAGAAATAATGCACTTTCACTATATGATCTATATAGCCCCGCCCTAGCACCACAACCCCTGACCCTGGGGCCATGAATTTCACAATTTTGGTAGAGGGCTCAATGCTTATTACAATCAGGTCAACAGTTTGACTGCTTGATGTCCAGGAGTAAAGAAGAAGATTTTTAAAGATTGCATTAATTTTGGTGGTTTTAGCCCCACCCCTCAGGTCCCAGGGGGGCAGGGACCATGAAATTCACAAATTTTGTTCCCCTTCACACATAGATGCCATATGCAAAAACTGGCTGAAATTGGTTCAGCGGTTTCAGAGAAGAAGCTGAAAATGTTCAAATGTTAACACACGTCGGACGACGCACGACGACGGACGAAAACAGATAGCAATAGGTCACCTGAGTGACTCAGGTGACCTAAAAATCAATCAATTTGGTCTGTCCATGTATACATTGTTCTAAGAATATCCTTACATTAGCATCAGGCCTCTGTCTTCCTGTAAACACTGGGACGGGCTGTGCATCAGGATGGTTTTCCATGGCAACATCCAAAATCTTTGTCTGAACAAATCAAACAAATTATTTTAATTATACCAATGTGCAATATCCAATATACACCAAATCTTTTGCTGATTGCTTAACTTATTCCATACAATCACTGTATTGAAATAAACCAATAATCATACACAGATAAATGTGAAATTGTTGCAAATAAATGTACTTCTTTTAAAACAAATTAGCTGGCTTGCTCTCTTATGCATTTTACATAATATTAAATATATTTAGCACATTATTCATCAAGACAATTTTTAAGGGGTCGTTTTTACATCAATATTTCATAAGATAGGCTATCCATTATATATCCTATAACCAATTCAAAATTCTATATCCTATAACCAATTCAAAATTCTATATCCTATAACCAATTTAAAATTACAGATTGATTATTGTACAACTCACTCTCAGAATGGGACACAATTCCTTCAGATGTTCTGAAACCTGAATCGACATCCCCTGGATGTAGAAATACAGTGAACACAGACTTCCATGGAGCTAAAATAAACATTGTACATGCCATTTAATTGTTAAAATTTTTATCTCAAATTTCACTATCATTTGAGTGGCGTACTTTGTAACAATATAAATGTCAATAATCTTTGTACTATATAATATACATGAAAGTTTGATGTACTAAGTATTTGGGGGGAAGGTAGTATATGTACAAAGTAAGCAATGAAATGCTTTGCTCTGTTTTACTTATTTGGTTGATCTTTATGTTTTACTGACCTCATCCCTATGTAAGTCTTCCAACAGATAACTGTCAATTTTAGCCTGCAGGATTTCAATAAAACACTCCATGCTTTGATTTCTTTCAATCCTAAAATACGGAACTCATATTAAACTTTTCACAATTTTCATGTGATACTTTATCAAACTATTACATTTTAAGATACATTTTACACGACAAACAACAGCTTCAATATCAAATTGCCACCAAACTGACACTTACAGGCTGGTGTCAAACATCACTGTTGTTATCTTCCTATAATGCTCCAACTGTCTTCTAATCTCCTTGGTGAATTTGCCCTCCTATCAATTTATAATAGAAATTATTTATTATCTAACATTTTTCATGTAGTTACAATGTACAAATGAATACATACATGTAACAAAGCATGACTTGGACTAAGCAAAGGTAATCAAAGATTTACCTAGATGGATTTTATTCAGAAGTAAGGCAAGGTTTCATACCAAATGAATGTTCTGGAAGTGTGCATCCATTGATGAATCAACCATGCAAGTTTGGCATAGGTAGGGCTTACAGTTATTTTGAAATGCACCTGCTCCAAAAACTTTAACTATTTAATCATAAAAAAAAAATAAAGGTTAGAACCAGGATCCAAAACAAGCAAACTTTATCAGTGCATCCCTAGATGCATCATCCATGCAAGTTTAGGCACCAAAGGCCTTAGAGTTCCTTGGGAATGGACTTCCTCCAAAAAATTTAACCTGATCATTCACCCTTAAAATCTAGGTGAGATCCAGAATCCAAAGCATATCCAAAACTTTAACCAGGTCACTCATCCACAAAATGTAGGTCAGATGCAGCATCCACATCAAAGCCATGCAGGTTTGGTCCAGGTAGGGCTTTTACTTACTTTAGAATGGACTTGCTCAAAAAACTTTAACCTGGTCATTCATCCAGAAAGTCAGATCCAGCAACTGAAGTAAGTCTGGTAGTGTCCATCCCTAGATGCATCATCTTTGCAATTTTGGTCTGGGTAGGGCTTATTAGTCCCCTATCGGTGAAACCGGAGGGGACTATAGGTTTCCTCTGAGTCTGTCCTTCCGTCTGTCCGTCTGTCTGTCTGTCTGTCCCTCTGTCTGTCCCACTTGATTTTCCGCACTTCTTTTTTTAACGCTTGCAGATATTGAGCTGATTTTTGGTATGTGAGTGTATCTTGATGAGTTACAGATCAAGTTTGCATTTCGTTCTGCTTCAATGATTTTTGACGGAATTACGACCTTTTCAATTTTTCACGGTTTTCCGCAAATTTTTTCTAAACGCTTATAGATATTAAGCTGAGTTTTGGTATGTAACTTTACCTTGATGAGTTATAGATCAAGTTTGCATTTTGTTCCGCTTCATTGATTTTTTACGGTATGGCATTTTCAATTTTCAACGGGAACCAGATTACACTTGCTGGTAGGGGACTAGTACTGCTAATGCAATACTCTCAGAATGCTTGTATTTACTTGGGAATGGAATTGCTCAACTTTAACCTGGTTGCTTATCCAGAAAGTCTAAGTCAGATCCAGCAACTGAAGCAAGTCTGGTATGTACAACCCTAGATGCATCATCCTTGCAACTTTGGTCCAGGTATGGCTTATATTTACTTGGGAATGGAATTGCTCAACTTTAATCTGGTCACTCATCTAGAAAATCTATGTCAGTTCCATTCTTTCTCAAGGTGAGCTAAAAATAGGTCATTATCAATTCCATGTATCTCTTAATTCGAACAATTTAGATAAAACTACAAATTTCTTCATTTGGAAGAAATGAACATATTGTTCAGTTACAGAAAATATTAAGACTAAGGCAAAACTTAAAAACCTCAAAAACTGGAAGCTGCATATTTACATTCCAAGTTTGGTCTAAATTTTACAATACATTGTTTCCCCTTGGAGACAATTAAACCTTTTCATACCTTTGATTCACATAGCTCAAGGATCATCCTGCAGACTCTCTTCTTAATTTCAGTGATTCAGAAATTACCTTCCAAATCATGGAATGACCAAAAATATCAAGAACAGTTTCATCAGTCTACTATATCTATTCTGGAATTCCCCTGGTGATACCAATCTGTTTTTATCACATGTTTATATAAAATACATGGTTACTGTCTTGAAATATAAGCGATATTTGGGCGAGGATAAAAAAACGTGATAGAGGGCGAGGCTTGCCGAGCCCTCCTTCACGTTTTCGACCCGAACCCAAATATGACTTATATTTCAAGACAGTTATCATGTATTTTGTTTATCCTGCAAAATATTTTTACATTTGAAGTCCAAAACAAGCTATTTTCAACAGATTTAGGCACATCTTTGCAGTTGAAACTATGACGCCATGGCGTAAACATTGAAATACATATGATGTCACAATGCTTTTAGAATGTCATAATACATGCACAAGGCTTTATTAGGGCATTGACCGAATATAGCTTTGGTTTATTAGGTTACCTTTATTAGGTCAATGCAAGGGGTGGTTGCAGGATAAAATCCTTTATACAGTGGATATAGGTTGTATAGTATTATTTTTCATATCAACAGTTGTGACATTGCAATGATTTTTATGTGAAACTGATGAAGTCAAATTAGCTGAATTCATATATAAAAGCAGTGTAAAACATACAATAGCTAAGTAAAACATGTGATCTCCCACCGTTTGTGGCTGCATGGAAATGATTTTTATCCAATCATAAACCAAGGGAGCTCCTGTTTTTATAACACAGTAAAAAAAAAAATACATCACATATCACTGGCTTAGTACAGGCAAACTAAATGTATCATTAAACTCCAATAAAATTCTACATGTACCAGTATTTTTTCCAGATACTGTAAACTTCTTTAAGTGACAATATATTAAATACTGTAAGTTTCAGATGCAAAATTAAAGAATCTATTATTTTGCTCAAAGAAATAGCAATGAAATCTAATGGAGTATTTCTGGGTCTGCTACGTGTTTTTTTTTTTTATTTTTACAAAATACTTGCTTGGGAGAAATACTACACACCATTTGCAGTTTTCTGTAACCTACATGTACACTGTCTTCTGTTATGCTAACTTTAATATGTCCTACACAAGTTCATGTTTTATATTGCCTTCTACATTGTATAAATCTCTGTACTGTGCCACATAACCAAACTCTATGAAAGGATTAACCCTAATAAATACAATGCAGATGTATTTTGCACAGTTTTGTGTACATACAAGTAAATCTTTAAAATGTCTTGGCGTAACTTACACTGTCTTGGAGTTTAGTTAGTAACAGCAGACTTTTACACTGGTCCCAAAGAACACCAATTTTTCCAAAGGATGACCTTAACAGTTTGAACAGCTCTTCTGCTATCTCACTAGGGTAAGAACCTCTAACAAATAAAAAGGGACAATCAAAGTATTGTTTTACTGAAGTTGTACTGGATTTTTCATAAAGAAGATTTTTGCATTTCTTGAAAGTTGACAATCCTATAACAATTACTACACTTAAACTTCTGTGAGATAACTTTTATCTGAATGACATCTATGGAAAAAGCGACCAGAAAATCTTTTCTTTCTAATGGGGTAGTTCAACAGTGTCTTTTAACAATGAAAAAAAAATCAGGTGTACATATATTCTAAGTTTCATACACACAGGAAATACAGGTAAAGTCTGATGAATCAAATATAATGAATTCTTCACCTGTCCATCTGGAACAGAAGTATAGACCAGTACAGTGCCTCTGAAAACTCAGCATATAAAGCACATCCTGAGATCTTCTTCTCAAGGTAAACTCTGAAGAAATAATAATATACATTTAGAAATAATTACTAGCTTCATTAATTTCTCAAATACATTAATCTTTGACCAGCTTCACACATGCATACCTGACCCCTTTAATGATCTCTCTTGTAAATGGTCCCTTAGGTATAAACCCCTCAGTATCCTTCACTCCCCTGTATGCTGTGTACAAGGTCAAGATTATATTGTTACAATTATTGATAATATCCTAGATTCTATTCTTGTTTTCAATAGACTTGTACATTTGCTTGAACATTTTGAAGCAAAATTACAACTTTTTGATACCACTTCACTAAGATTATGTTCAGAAAGTGTGAATTTGAGACATTTTTTTAAAGCTTGTTACCAGATTTCTCTGTCTCCTCCTGAATAAAAAGACTGTGGTAATACTCTGCATGGTGTTTCTCCAGATAAACTCCATCATACAGAGACAGCAGTGGAGTCCCCACCTCTGGCAGTCTACACAAGGACAAAAAAATGTACATTTACATACAGAGACAACAGTGGAGTCCCCACCTCTGGTAGTCTACAAACAACAAAAAATGTACATTTACATACAGAGACAACAGTGGAGTCCCCACCTCTGGCAGTCTACATAACAACAAAAAATGTACATTTACATACAGAGACAGCAGTGGAGTCCCCACCTCTGGTAGTCTACACAACGACAAAAAAATGTACAACATTTACATACAGAGACAGCAGTGGAGTCCCCACCCCTGGTAGTCTACACAACGACAAAAAAATGTACAACATTTATTAATGTCTACCTGATGGCAAGGTAGAAGCAACTTCAATCTGGACAGACATACAGTTACATGGACAGCAAAAATGTAATTATAGCCCAATATCAAATTACCAGACATGGAAATTTACACGAACTGGTTATCTATTCTTCAGTTGTTGATAAAAAATCTTTCATTTAAATGTCTCCCAGGATAATAATGCCTTTGAACATAATTCATTCAGTATTTAAATGTACATTAATTTTTTTTTCCCTAATATGAGGAGATAACCCTCATGGCTTTTGCTATTCATATAAAGAAAAATCCACTAAAATACCCATGTTTACAGCATGACATTTAGCTTTAACACAGCCTTACATACTTGACATCCTCTTGATAAGGGGCGCCCTCTGGTGGATGACGGAAGTTGACAGCGTACTGTATCTGACCAGCAGAGTACCGATCTCCTGCCGCGTCCAGGAGAAACACACAGTCTACTATAGGGTACAAATGATACAACACAGCACGACTCACTGCTTGAGTAAAGTCCTCCTGTGTATATAAAAAAAAACATAGGTAATCAGAGATTACAGAGCTCACCTCAACGAATGTTGTCTTTAAGTAAGGCAAAGTCCCACACTCAACTAATAATCTAGGAGTGTGCATCCCTAGATGCAACATTTATGCAATTTTGGTCTGATAGGGCTTGCAGTTACTTGGGAATAGACTTATCTGAAAACTTAAAACTAGTCACTCAATGACATCCAGAAAATGTGAGTCAAATCCAGCATCCGAAGCAAGTTTTGAGATTGTTCATCCCTTGATGCATCATCCATGCAAGTTTGGTTCAGATAGGCCTTAAAGTTACTTGGAAATGAGATCTGCTCCAAAAACTTTAACCTGGTCACTCATCTGGAAAATATAGGTCAGATCCAGCATCCGAAGCAAGTCCAGTAGTGTGCATCCTTAGATGTATCATCCATGCAAGTTTGGTCAATATAGGGCTTATAATTACTTGGAAATGAGATCTACTCCAAAAACTTTAACCTAGTCACTCATCCGGAAAATGTAGGTCAGATCCAGCATCCGAAGCAAGTTCAGTAGTGTGCATCCTTAGATGTATCATCCATGCAAGTTTGGTCAATATAGGGCTTATAGTTACTTGGAAATGAGACCTGCTCCAAAAACTTTAACCTGCTCCAAAAACATTAACCTGGTCATTCTTTAGCTGAAATTGCAGCATCTGAAACCTTGACTGGTACAATGAAACACACTAGAAGCATCCTCCATGCATCTCTGACTAATATAGGCCATAGAAGTACTTGAAAAGAAAACTGCTCCAAAAACCTTAACATGGGACGCCAACGCCGAGGGTATTACACAAGCTCCCCCAACTTCGTTGAGGTGAGCTAAAAACAATTGTCTTCTACTCAAAAATACAAATATGTATTGAACAAGATAAAGCTACATAAATTATATGAATGTACATGCACATGTACATGTAAATATTGAACTGTGAATATGAAAAACATGTTTGGCATTAATTGTTTTATAAGTTAACAATATAATTTAGGATATAGCCTTATATGGACTAAGTGCTAACTGTAAAGTCTATCTTAGAGTTTGTCATATTAAAAAATCATGATGTTCTTTAATGAAGATGAATTAATGATTTATCTGTAACACTTTTTGTAATACCTTCTCTTTTTCTATATTTTCAAGATTCCATTTATCCACAAAGTGCATCTTCTCATGATGTGGAATATGTACATCTGTAATGAAATACCAGTCACTTAATGTGCTTTTATTATAGCATTAAAGAAAAGTTTTAATAACAAGAAAAGTTGGAATGGTACTTTTACATGTTTATGATACAATTTCAACTCTTTCTCACTGGGACTTAATTTTTTTTTTGGCATACTTTTTTGCTTTGGAATATTTTTCTCTTTTTACTTGACAAACTTTGTACTTCGGACATTAAGAATATTATCAATAAAACAAAGTGACTGTTTGTACAATAGCATGATTTCCATGCATGTTGACAATTACATTTACTGAAACGCACAATCCCATGCATCAGCTACTCTAAAAAAGGTGCATACTTCTATCAGCTGCTAACACAGTATGTCATTGCAAGTAGTCTTCAAAGTAATTTTCATCATTAGCATGTACATGTATACAATTTTGTATTCAACCCATCTTTGATACACAATTTATCATATGTTCTGTATACACATGTACATAGTGGCAGTTGAAGGAGAATTTTTAGTCACTCAAATAATAAATAGGAAAAGATAACTATTTTCTGGCTTTTGTCAATGTACTTTTCATTGGTCCTGGTTAAACAAGGGGAGCAAGTCATCAAACAGCAGGTACCTATAATTCTGCCTTACCCCCCCCCCCCCCCCACACACACACACACACACACACTTCTAGCTATCTTAATAGTCAGTTACACTTCTAGTTATAACAACATTCAGTTACAATTAAAGCTATCACAATAATTACTGTTATAGTCAATTACACTTCTAGCTATCACATTTACACTTCTAACTATCACAACAATCGGTTTCACTTCTAGCTATCATAATAGTCAATTTCACTTCTAGTTATCACAATAGTCTGTTACAATTCTAGCTATCAGTTACAGTTCTAGTTATTACAACAGTCAATTTCACTTCTAGTTATCACAATAGTCTGTTACAATTCTAGCTATCAGTTACAGTTCTAGTTATTACAATAGTCAGTTACACTTCTAGTTATCACAATAGTCTGTTACAATTCTAGCTATCAGTTACAGTTCTAGTTATTACAATAGTCAGTTACACTTCTAGTCATCACAATAGTCAGTTACACTTCTAGCTATCATAATAATCAATTTCACTTCTAGTTGTCACAATAGTCAGTTATAATTCTAGCTATCAGTTACAGTTCTAGTTATCACAATAGTCAGTTACACTTCTAGTTATTACAATGGTCAGTTACACTTCTAGTTATCACAATAGTCAGTTACACGTCTAGTTATCACAATAGTCAGTTACACTTCTAGTCATCATAATAGTCAGTTATACTTCTAGTTATCACAATATTCAGTTACACCTCTAGTTATCACAATAGTCAGTTACACTTCTAGTCATCATAATAGTCAGTTATACTTCTAGTTATCACAATAGTCAGTTACACCTCTAGTTATCACAATAGTCAGTTACACCTCTAGTCATCACAATAGTCAGTTATACTTCTAGTTATCACAATAGTCAGTTACACTTCTAGTTATCACAATAGTCAGTTACACTTCTAGTCATCACAATAATCAGTTATACTTCTACATGTAGTCATCACAATAGTCAGTTATACTTCTAGTTATCACAATAGTCAGTTACACTTCTAGTTAGCACAATAGTCAGTTACACTTCTAGTTATCACATTACTCAGTTACACTTCTAGTTATCACTGTAGTCAGTTACACTTCTAGTTATCACAATAGTCAGTTACACTTCTAGCTATAACAATAGTCAGTTACACTTCTAGTTATCACTGTAGTCAGTTACACTTCTATCCCCTTACCCATAACATAATGTCTCTTGTCAAGGTCCTTCATGTGGCTAATGATCCCATCAGCAAACTCCTGAATACCCTTTAAATATAGAAAATAAATCTTAACAAAGACTTTTCACACTCAAAAAGTGAAAATGTGCATCCTTACACTGTATCAACATTTTAGGTTTATTTTACACATCTGCACATGTATTTATAAGTATCTTTTTATGCATACTTTAATTTCTATACAGAAAGAAACAAAGGAATCTTTTTTGCATACTTTATATAAAAAGTATGTTGTCTACCTTGGATAACTCTGGTTGATATACTGTCACTTCCAATCTAAACTGTGGTGTGTGAACCTCTGAGTAATAGGTTCCCTCAAAGACAGCTGGTCCAACCAATGACAAGGACATGGATCTCTAGAAATCAGAAAAAATATTGTTTTCATCATGTAATCAGTACATATATATACAGATGTAAAGTTAAAATGAAAATTCAATTTCTCGAAACCTTCTTATAAAATATTTTCTTGATAATGTTGCATTAAAAATTTAATCTCATAAAATCATCAACAAAACAAAACAGTAAAACTCCTGTGCTTTCCTCATTTAATTAATGAGTCAAATAAACCTAAAAATGGTTTATACAAAGAATCAAAAATATCCAATTTACATGCAGATGGACAGAAATGGATACGCTACATTGTAATCTTAGTACTCACAGAGTGTCCCGGAAACCTGCTGAGGTCTGAGACTAGCCAGGCATACTTCTGTAGATGTGTGGGGGACACAGCACTAATCACACCAGTCAGTCCCCAAACATTGTGATGACCCTTTATGCTGACCAATCCCTCCAGGTGAGAACGGTCAAACTGTGTATCTGTAAAAACAAGTACAAAAATAACCTAAAAATAGATCAAACTTTGTATCTGTAAAAACAAGTACGGAAATTACCTAAAAATAGATCAAACTAAAACAATTACAGAAATAACCTAAAAATAGATCAAACAACAAGTACAGAAATAACCTAAAAATAGATCAAACAAGAGACTGCCAAAAAAAAAATCTGAGAGGCACACTAGAAAGTCATATTTACTAAAATGTATATTTAATAATGAATACTGGATAAATGAATTTAGATAAACCTAAGTGTTATGTACCATACAACTATAAATTGGTTATATCACTCAATTGCACCAATGTCATTATGTATATTTCTTTTTTCTATTAAAAGCAGCAATCAAGCAACACAATTTTTGTCAATTTTATTAATTGTAAAAACCTGTTTGTCAACAAATGTATGCATGAAAAAAGATCAGTAACCCATTAATGATAATGCCATATATTTTTAATTGGTATTAGGTTTCCATGATGCAAACCATGGCAGCAACACTTTAATAAATTAGGAACTTGCATGAGCTAACTTTATCAGAAGATCAACTTTGCAAAAATTTTAAAATGTACAGTAGTTTTTTTCCTGGAAATCTCCATTCTCGGAAAATAAAAGTTTTCAATACTAAATAGCATTGCCATTAATTACTGTATGCAAGCTTGTTGGCCGTATTCCTTTTCCGCGATTTTATTTTTGCAACCTGTCTGCTTTTCCGCGAGCACTTCATACTGCTTTTCCAAGATTGGTTTTCACTACGGTAAATGTTATGTGTTATCCCCTTTTTTGAAACCTCCTTTCCACAATTTTTAAATGGTCAAGGTTAATGCTTAGCATCAAACAGTTGCTGAAATTTACCTGTATTTCCCCAAAGAGTTCTATACTCATTAGTAAGAACAAACTCACATTGTGATAAAAACTAAATGAATTTTGTATTTTACACTGGTCAGTGATAAGGTTTAGATGTATGGAAAATAGTTCATACAAAAAACAAATTACATATGGAACTGGCACCAAAATTTGAAAGCAAGCATACATGTATTTGTTCTGTGGATTTTTTAAATATTATTTACACCAGTGTTTTTAATCTTTGCTTTATCCAGTACTAATGGTTTTAAATCAGTGTTCTTATCCAGTGTTTTACAAGACTTATCCTGCTTAAAATTTAAGTTAAAATAAATCACAGAAAAGCAAAAAATATTTACACGGAAAAGCAGTATTACTTGTGGAAGGATTTCTTTCACGGAAAAGCAGTGTCTAATCACGGAAAAGTGAGACTGCGAGCATGTTTTCAGATAATTTAATAACATGTAGAAACAACTCATTAGTTACCAGAAATACGTACACGCATGTTCAAAGCAATTGTTATTAAATGTGCTTGCAATCATTACTCAGTAAAGAATAAATTAATGTTCCATCAACAAGATTCAGAAGAAATCTGAAAAGAAACGAATTGTGCATACAGAAAAAAAAACCTTTACATACAGTTCTAAAGTTTACAACTTTATTTCTTTATTTATTTATTTTTGCCTCAAGACACAATTCTTCTTAAAATGTCTAATTATTCAAAACTTTGATAAAAATCTTTGGTTAATATAAGTTCAACTACCATACATGCTTTTTGTAAAGTATAGGTAAATCATAAAGTCCCCTTTTATTTATAAGAATAATATTCCATATAAAAATTAAAAATCTGAAGTTATATCATGTGTGTTATTTAAATTGATAATTTCATAAATTAGTTAAGAGTTGAAAACCCACTATAAACTTAATTTACTACAATACATTTAAACATAAATACCTCTCTTCTAACCCAGAAAATCGCATCACAAATCCTGGGTATGGATTGTAAGGCAGTCTGGACATACTAAATAACTGCTTCATCAGAAGTCGAAACTTTGGTTGTACATCTGTCTCTTCTAGGTAAGCCAGAAAAATTCTCATGTGGTCCGTGTTAAAATCAGGGGGATTATAGCCTCTCGGTCTCGCAATCTCCTAAAATTAAAGGCCAAAGAAATGATAGTCACCTGAACAACTACATTTAAGGTTCAATGTACAAGAATAAATATAATTCCCAGTGTTCTCCTTCTAGTGCTCTATACTTAACAAAACTGAAAGAATGTCAATCATCCAATAACATACTGCAGCACAGACCATGTAGATAATACAATATAGGTACTGCAAAGACTTGAGAGTTAATTCTCTCTTTTATAGAATGTTTTCATTTAATGTAATTTCATGAATATCAATACAATATATGATGTCTGTCCCACGGTACCAACATCATCACTTTTTTTGCATTATGTGATTATAATACTACTCAAAAATTTATGTTACTATTTAGACAGATGTTTATACACAGAAAACATATCCATGATATTTGTAGAATTGAGTAAAATTGTCTTGCATGCTGTAGCTATCATATTATAATTCAGTTTTCTGTTTTTATCATTTGACTTGTTATCTTGACTGTATGCCAACATGGTGATGTCAATAAATTGAACTGAAATACCAGTGCTTTTAAACTACTTTCAATCAAAGATCATTTTATCCAAAACCTTCTAATTTAATAGTAACCCCCCAGTTCATCTAGTATAATGACACAGCAGCAAATTCAAAGTCAACAGGTATTTAACATTTTGAAATTAACTTTAATTAGGGCAGGGATCTACTATTATTTATGATTTTCCATAGCTTGCTATTGAAAACCCACTATTGTTGTGCTTGACATTTAGAATCAATTTATGTGTCACACTTGGAAAATCTATAGAAATAATGACAACTCCCTTGTGTTCAGCAATGGCTGAAATGTACAATGTATGTAGACTTTGAAACATTTTGTCATGTGTGTTAACATCAAATCTGGCTGGTTTGGAAAGGATGAAACTTAAATGTTTAATGGAAATTTCTTTTAAAACATTTCCAAAGGGGGAGTTTCGATAAGGTTGCTCAGCGGCCCACTTTTTTTCATAAAAATAAATTTCAATTTATTTTTTCAAAACTAGTTTAGAATTCAAGATAAATATCTTAACTTTTGTTATTTATATTTCAAAAGTTAATATGAGATAATTTCACACCGTAGCTGATACATACTTAGATGTACCCTCAGATCCGTTAACATTAGGCTTATGGGAAAATATAAGAGGGTGGCATTTATAAATCGATGTTTAGAATATGAAGTGCATGAGGGACACTCACCTAAATTTGTCCAGTAATTAGATATACTCTACATAATAATTTTTTTTGAAATATGATGAGTGTCGCATGTGCACTTCATATCCAAAAATTGAAAATTGCATAAAATTTGCATATCTAAAATTAGAATCTCCTGGATTCTTGATCTGACTCTGTGTTAAAATACTAAGCAAAAAGTAGCATATTTTTTTTACATCAAGGAAGATTCTCGATTATATTAACGGTAGAAAACATTATTGTATCCTATCTTCATTTCGATACTTTTTTGCCAACGTATAACGTTAACGTCATATTTTTAGCACACCTCCTCAAAGTTGGGGGAGCTTCTGTAACACCATCGGCATCGGTGTTCCAGATGAAAGTTTTTGAAGCAGATTTTTTTTCAATTATATCTATGCCCTATATTAATCTAGAGTCATCTGATCTAGTGTGTTTCCTTGTCACCAGTCAGGTTTCAGATGCTGGATATTTAGCCAAAGAATGTCCAGGTAAATGTTTTAAAAGCAGGTTAAAGTTTTTGGAGCAGAGCAGCTGTAAGCTCTTGTTGACCAGACTTGCTTCATGATGCATCTACGGATGCACACTACTAGACTTGCTTCAGATGGTGGATATGACCTATATTTCCTTAATAATGAGTGAGCAGGTTAAAGACTTTGAAGGGGGTCTCATTCTTATGTAAATATAAGCCCTATCATGACCAAACTTGCACTGATGATGCATCTAGGATTGCACACTACCAGACATGGTTCAGATGCTGGATCTTTCTTACATTCTCAGACTGACTGAACACAAAATAAGTTTTAGAGCAAGTCCATTCCTTAACGTTATTTATCATGCATAGTTATATTTGTGACTTTCTTGTAAATAGAAATCCACGCTCCAACATGCTAAAGAAGCGCCCATATATTTCCATGTGGTTGATATAGGGAATGTGGATTGTTTTAAATCTGGATGTCTAAGCGCATATGTCTGCCTGATTAAGGATTAAACACATATCTTTGGCATTTACACATGTATTTTGAACTGTGCTCTGGTCTAGCAAATCATATATAATGAATTCTAAAACTCTCTAAACGAGAAGTGACTAGAGTTGGTGACGCAACTTAAGTATCTATGGAGAGTTGGGAAGCGAGAGGAAATTAGTCCTGGCTGGGATTCTCTCAGTTATGCTGAAAACATAATGCAAATCTATGTGGATAAATACTTCGAAGTTTCATAATGAAAAGGAAACACTGAATGTATTATAGATTTTTCCATCATTTTGCTATTCACATATTACGTATCATGATAAATTATTTTTGACTGTAATTAATATTATTCATTTTATCAAATACATTGCAATATACTGAAGCCGACAGGTGCTAGGTAAAAAAATATATTATCTGGCGGCCACCAGATAAGATTCTAGCGCCTGCCACTGAAATATCTGGTGGCTGCCAGATAAATTGTAGTGTTTTTGCCAATCAAGTTGTAGCACCCAATGATGTACTTTAATGCACTTGATTGACAGAGGTACACAGACCAGGTATATTTGATGGCCGTCTCTTCCTTTAACGAACATCTAGAACTTCTGTCTGTAGTCAAATCTGGGAGTTTCATGCCTTATTAGCAAAGATCAAATCTACACTTTATACAAAAAATTCACTTCATAAAAGGGCTTCATCTCATAACTTTAAATTTATTTTTATTAAAATTACATGTCTACATCTCACGGCTTCTAGTTATTTATGTGGCGGCCACCAGATAAGTTTCTGGTCGCCACCAGTTATTTATGTGGTGGCTGCAGGAATACTCTTTGGCAGTCGCCAGATATATTTTCCTAGCGGCCGCCGAATAATTATGTGGCCACCGCCAGATAAAATATTTTTCTTACCTTGCACCTACAATATACTGGCTTATGTAATAATATGATGCTTTTAAATAATTTTTTTATTAATGCATGTATAAAAGTTGCATTTATTTTTTATGCTTTTCTTTAAAAACATTTTATTTAATTTCAATTTTATGATATTAAGGTATATTTTTATAAAACATGTAGTTGTATAACCTCATTGATGAAAATGTATTGCATGTACCTGTATATGACGTTTTTACGTTTACCTATCTCATGTCTACATAATTATCTTTTCATTTGCATTTTTTTGTATGGGAAAATGTTAAATATTGATTACAAAGTTTATGTATAAACTGTCGATAATTATGATGTTAAAACTTTCCATATATGTTTGCGTTTTTTGAGTTTAAATCATCCTTTTTTAAATAAAAGTAACATTTAACACACCAGAAAAATATCGCACCTTTTTTGTTAGAAGAACATTTGGATAAGATAAATACCATTTTCCGTAAAAAAAAATTGTTGAAATTGGTTAATTTATGTCTTTATTCATATTTATTCTATTTCATTTACGATTTCGACGGTTAAAAAAATCCACTTTCCCCCTATAAAAATGTCTACTCCAAGAATACACGAGAGGGGGTATACTTAAATTTTCAATTATCACGTGACCGGAAAATGCATATTTTCATATTTTTAGGAAGATAAGGAGTTTTTCTACAAAATATCAAAATTTCATAAAATTTCGTGAGGGGATGAAAAACGGCCTTATCGAAACTCCCCCTTTATATAATATTGTTAATAGTGTGGTGGGAGTATTAAAATGTGTGTCATACATGTATATATCTCTAGAGTACTCACATACATGTACATACTCTAGAGTACTCCAATGTGTGTTATACATGTACACATCTCTAGAGTACTCCAATGTGTGTTATACATGTACATATCTCTAGAGTACTCCAAAGTGTGTTATACATGTACACATCTCTAGAGTATTCAAATGTGTGTCATACATGTACATATCTCTAGAGTACTCACATACATGTACATACTCTAGAGTACTCCAATGTGTGTTATACATGTACACATCTCTAGAGTATTCAAATGTGTGTCATACATGTACACATCTCTAGAATACTCAAATGTGTGTCATACATGTACACATCTCTAGAGTACTCAAATGTGTGTCATACATGTACACATCTCTAGAGTACTCCAATGTGTGTCATACATGTACACATCTCTAGAGTACTCCAATGTGTGTCATACATGTACATATCTCTAGAGTACTCCAATGTGTGCCATACATGTACACATCTCTAGAGTACTCCAATGTGTGTCATACATGTACATATCTCTAGAGTACTCCAATGTGTGTCATACATGTACACATCTCTAGAGTACTCCAATGTGTGTCATACATGTACATATCTCTAGAGTACTCCAATGTGTGTCATACATGTACACATCTCTAGAGTACTCCAATGTGTGTCATACATGTACACATCTCTAGAGTACTCCAATGTGTGTCATACATGTACACATCTCTAGAGTACTCCAATGTGTGTCATACATGTACACATCTCTAGAGTACTCCAATGTGTGTCATACATGTACATATCTCTAGAGTACTCCAATGTGTGCCATACATGTACACATCTCTAGAGTACTCCAATGTGTGTCATACATGTACATATCTCTAGAGTACTCCAATGTGTGTCATACATGTACACATCTCTAGAGTACTCAAATGTGTGTCATACATGTACATATCTCTAGCATACTATTACCTCCTCTGTTATCTCCTCCTCTGTGTCCTGGACAGCCCGTCTCCTGACCTTTCGAGGTCGAGTCCTACGGACATTCCTCCTGTCCTCCTCAATTTCCTATAAAGAACAATAAGCATTTCCCTGTATCTCAGTCTCAATTTTATTTCAATGTTATCAGATAACCAGGTTCTTCTGATTTAGCTCCAGATATAGCTTGAATTAGCTGCATGGCATTATTAAGCTATTTAGAATAGCTTGATAAAGCTATTTATATGCAGTTTTTCACAAAAATGTTTCTGCTAGGAAAGAGACAAAAAAGTAAGTAGTATGTGACTATTCATATACATGTATGTAGTACAGACTATCAAAAATGCAACCCAAATCAAAGACAGTTCTAACATTGCAGCTTTTGAACACTTTTAAGCAAACGATGTATTTCCATTGTTTGGATAACTGTACACACCTTGTGTGTATTAAGCATGGATAAGTATGATTGCTTCAAATTGTACTGAATTAGTACTAGATCTAATCAATTATCTGTTGACCAGAATTGACCTCCTTTATAGTGGTCCAATCCACACTTTGCAAAAGTTGTGTCCCTCTGCAGGGTCAACCAAAAGGTCAAAAGGGAAAGAAATGGCATTTCTCCTCTTTATGCTACCAAGCATTTGGGTGACTGTATTTAATTTTTTTCTTTTGACATAAAGGTAGCCCAATCCTGGGCAATCATACAAGATGCAAAGATTTTTTTCCAATTAAATGACAAAGTTACAAACCAGAAAACTACAAAGGCTACTGTAAGGATTCTATGGGTTTTTCCCCAATAAAAGATGGCAGCCAAGGAACATAACTTTAAATTGAAAAGTGTGGATACAACTATTTCATTCAAGAAGTGGTCACAATCATTGTTTTATATAGCCCCAAAACTTTTAGACCTTTGAGTGCAAAGTCTTTGAAGGAAACATATTTTTATGAGGCATTGGTTTCAAAACAGTTCAAAGTTGAAAACTGTTACTGCACCAAAGTGTGAATTTTGTACATGCTGAAAAAATAACATATTTAAGTTAAAAGTGTGATAAAATAGCTAAATCAAGCTTTTCTGAATAGCTTAATAAAACTTTTTCCTAATCCAAACTATACATCTTACTCAAAAGATTGTGTCTGTGTTGTAGAATGAGACTTCCCCCATAGTCAGACTTCCCACCAAAAGCCATGCTCTAGAGTGAGACTTCCCCTGGAAGTTTTGTTCTAGAGTGAGACTTCCCCCTGGGGGACGAATGACTATAGAGCAGAAAAAATTGCAGAGAAAGTATCACTCTAGAGCCCCTGTGCAAAGACCTACTCTACCAGTAGTTATAGTCAGATTTCCTCCAATAGTAGGTCTTCCCCCATCATTTAATCTTGCTTTTACTTGTACTACAATCACTCTGTAGAGATAAAGTTACCAAACCTTTACAGCACTAACAGCAGTGCATTAATTGTTCCCTGCTTTCACTGAAACTAAAGGATATTCTGTCCGTTCGTCCGTCCATCCGACTAGCTGTAATTCTGTCTATGTGTAGCACTTTCGTTTCCGAACAATATAGATCTTAAAAACCTCTGAGCTCTTGCAATGAAATTTTATGCATTATTTGTGTTGCTTTGATAGGTACATCGTAATCATATGTCTGATATAGTATGAAATAAAAATTAATAAGACAACATGAGCACTATTTATGTATTTTCATCATGTCTAGTTTCGAAATGTAGCAATATAATGTCAGGCATGCGCGAGTTCAATCTCTCACCAGAGGGCGTATTACGCTTCGCTACAACACCTCTGTTAACGTCTAAATGCCAAGATTCTTGGCAAAACTTTCTCTGACCTATTGCATAACAAATTATCAATTTTAAAATTATATACTTTAGCTTTAAAAATTAAAGAAAAGTTTATGTATAAAAATTAGAAAGAGATATATCTGTATCTACTTATCTTACAAGGGATTATTTCTCGGCTGAATATTGCATCAAGTAGACAGATATGGAGAACGTGGAAAATTTAAAACCCATTGCCAATAAATATCAACATAGTTTAGTTTTTAAAGACAAACAACTTGCAGCATCGACACATATACAGAAAAGTGAAGATAATACGCTTGTTAATCTTCTTGTGATAAAGGCCACGCGTCTCCGCCTTTCGTACTACTTTTTAGACGTTGACAGAGGTATAAGTGGAGCGCAGCGGGAACGATAACTCCGGATAGAGATTGGCGCGAGTTATGGCACTTTCCCATTCTACTCCATGCTAAATAGGTCATGTTTATCAGTGAATTAACAGCTTATATTTCTGTGCATGCTTCAATTTTTTAATTCAGGTTAAAACTTAAAAGATCATTTTGGATAATACATACATTGATTCCTGACAAAAGTGTGTAAAAAACTGCATAACACGGGAAATCTCACATGACTCTAGATAACAACAGACGTAATCGGAAATGCAAACTCACTGTTTCATCTGTTCCTGGTCTTGACATGTTTTATAATTAAACCTGAAATCCTGTAAGTATTCTAATGGTTTCTGTAGTTCATCAAACAATATTTGCTGGAACTATAGGCAAAATTCGGTGAAGGCAGTTTGGACTTGTACCTTAACCTTACAAACCATTGGCGCCATTGATAATCATGAAGTTAAGTCATACGTCAAACAAGTCGTATTTCACACCCCCTCTTTTCCTCAATCTATTCGTTCTCTACTGTCTCTTCATCTTTTCACAAGAGATATATATATATATATATATATATATATATATATATATATATATATATATATATATATATATATATCTTTCAGTATGGAAGATTAATTAGAAGGATTATATTTTAAGGTTGGTCAATTGCATATGTTGAAATACATAACTAACTCCATCCATTTTTGTTTCAAGTTTAATTAAATCAGATAACGCAAGGAAAATGAAAGATAACCAATAATGACAATACTCTTTATAAAGCTTAACTTTCATAAAATAACTGGCTATTTTACTAGTGAAATGACAGCTAATATGCCTACTGAACAGTCAATGAATGGGAAATGGGGGGAGGGGGGAACCGTTTCCCGATAATTTTGCCTATATATAATATGCTATCTTCCTATGCTTGTTCCCCCTGATTGTAACATCTGACCTTTTTTGCTTGTCGAAAAATTTTGCTTGGAAGCCCCACCCCCATAACAAAAGAAAATGCATGGTTGGTAGTAACCCCCCCCCCCTCCCAAGTGAAATTGCTTCCTACAAGCCTGCTTCCAAAATATCACTGACTTTCGAAACAAAATAAATTAATTCATAATTCATCTGTTTAAAGCATTGCTGATAGATTTTGATCATCAAATATTTGAAAGATTGACATTGAGAATGCCCCAACTCACACCAAAATCGTATCCATTTACGAACAATTTTCTCGCTCAGAGGAAGGGGGGGGGGGCGCTCCCAGATCCTCCTTTGTTGTTGCCCATTTCCAGATACATGGCAACGGCCTTGACATTCTTTGTACAATGATTTTTATTGCAGTTATAATCATGTTTACCAAACAACATATCGTTTTGGATTCCGGCATCGAATATGAATTTTACCGGTATCGATATCCTCAAAAACACAAAATCGTTTATGGCGTTTGAAATTTAGAATTTTAGGAGTAAAAAGTGTTGGGAATTGTGATAATTAAAATCTTTTAATAGAAATTGTAAATTTCAAAGTATAAAACCAGTAATTGTTTAAGTTTTGAGATAAAGAATTTTAAACTAAAATATTAAAAATCTAAAACTTTAAACCATTTAAGAAAAAATCAATTGCTAAGCTGACAAGATACATGTACATTCTTATTCTGACTCTTTTTAAATCCCAGTATCAAGCATGCACATTTTTTTATTATATTTTTTGGATACCGATGAAGTAATAAGTAGCTGAACACAAGTGCAATCGTATACATATTACATACAGCACGGTGCATGTACAGATATTGTATTAAAGGTTTCGACTTCTGAGAATATCTTGTTATGGTTAGTTTTAAATTCTCGACAACATTAGGGGCTTATACACTAACACAGATAGAAATACACTTGTTTTCTTTGAACGACTGTATATAAATAGGGTTTGTACGGACAAACTACTTTTCCGTAAAAAAGAATTCAGACATTTCATATTTTATTAATCATATGACACTGCATCATTATTAAACAGAAAATTTTGGGGGAAAGGGATTGACTTTTTTAATATACAATGGAAGCTATAAGCATTTCCAAAATTTATTCAATCTTGTTTTTTGTGCAGAAATCGGTACTGTTTTCTCGAAAGCTTTGCTTCCACGACAGTCGGACATGTTTTTTTTTTTTTTTTTCACACCCATTATTGATGCATCATATCAAACATATAGCAAATATATAGCATCATAGCAAAACTTTCTACCTCTATGTATGCGCCTGGAGTGACCCCCAGTCATTATTTTACAGGGGTTAACATGTAACAGTCAACTCTAAAATGCTATTCACAGTATACTTTAAATATAAAAACTATACATAATTTTAAAATCAATAAAAATACGCGCGAATTGTTAAAATATCGCTTTTTTTTAAGAAAAAGAAGGCGTCTAACAGTACCACAAGAGTACCAACTAAGAAAAAAAAGGATTTCCAAATTATATATATTAATTTATGTACTAAGGAATTCGCGTGAACTATCCAATAAGCTCACGATTGTTTGGTTATTAGCAAATGTCCCTTAAACACAAATTGAAAAATGCTTTTCCTCCATCTGGATTCTAAATTCCACATACATGTACGCCAGAAATTAAAAAAAAACAAAAAACAAAAAGACCAGAATTTTTTTTTTTTGTATGCGTCTAAATCAATAATGTATCAATCTCTGAATTTAAAATTGTTTTTCAACTCTGTTCTGTGACCAGTGAACTTGTCTCCGACTGTTCATTTATTAGTTTTTTTGCAGAAGTAAATAACATCATTTGGGGTCCCTAGTACACTTTATCAGGAGTTACCTTTTAATTAAGTAAAGTAGAATTGTAATTAGTCTTTGAAATCTCATTCAGTTGTTTTGGAAGCTAGATACATCAGAAGATTCTGAAAGTCTGCAATCAGTTCGTAAAAGTTCCAGTGTTCCTCGTTTAAGTGATGGAACCACTCTTTAATTTTTTGATTAGCGTCGACGCTTCTTGTAGATAGTTCTTCCTGATAATTTGGGGAGCTGCTTATTTCATGCAAAGGTTTATGGGAATCCGGAGTAAATAAGAAAGCAGATCTTTCGTTGGGTTTCCCCTTAATGAACGGGTTATTTGTAGAAATTTCATCCAATCGCAATCGTCCAGGAAGGCAACAAACGGAAACGGACGCCACTTCATCTTTTCGTCCCTCAATGCACTGCTTCAATACAGCAAACACTTCCAAAACACGCGTGCATATCTTATCTTCCACCCAATAAGAGCTATCAGTGTAATGTTTCATCATAAAAAGTATTATGTTTTTCAAAATGTAACTTTTGACTAGAACATGGCAGCATCTTTTACAACCAAATACATTTGTGTACCTTGGAAGAAAATTGTTGGTTAAGCATTTTGCCAGTTTGTAGGTTTTCAGTCTTCCGTCATTTGGACCATGGGACAGAAGCCGCGACAGCTCTAGTAGGGGTGCAGTTATGCGAGTGTTAGTAACACGGAATGCATGTTCTCCGTCACCAATGATGGCAAATATTTCAAACGGGGCAATTTGGTGAAGACAACGAAGGTAGGAGAAGAGTAAACCCGAGTTTTCCTCCTTTTCCTCTAGCTCTGCAGCACTTTCTATATCATTCGATGATAACTGAAAGCACAAACAAATATCAATGTCTACGTCCATATCGTACTTTTCAGAGAAGAGATGGAGCGTTGTAGCAATGTGTGATGAACAAACGTCACCATTTTCTGCGGGAAATCTTTTCCACCCTGGAGGCATTGAAGAATCGAGAACGTTAAGGATTGCTTTCAGTATCAGTTCCTTGAAAGTGTAGTGTAAAAACACCGAACCCTCGTCAGAATCCAGTAAATTCGGGACCTCCGATCGCAAGGTTTCCAACAATTCTGTCGGTTTTAAAGCAAATTTAAAGTATTTGTCTGAGAGACGAAGATGAAAAGTCTCCCTGTCCGATAAGACCTTTAGAACCAATAAATAGTCATATTCATCTGCTTTTCCTACCTTTGTTCCCTCGGCAACGCTTCCACCCTGTATTAACCGACATCCCCTAAAGAGAACTCCTGCGGTCCTCAGATTCTCTGAAAACGCCTTCATCAGTTCCTGCACTTCTTTGTGAACACGAGCGTTTGTTCCGTCTACTAGCACATTAGTTAGTGAAGAAAGCTGATTTAAAAGTTCCTTTAGGGCGGAATTAGTTTGAATTCTTGGTAAACTGTGATAATGACGTGGTATGGGTGCTTTATTATCATTTTCCGCAATCATATCAGTGACTTCAGATTTCTTAACCGTTTCCCATTGGTCGTATGGCCACGTTGGGACGTTTATCTCATATTTCTCTTGATCATTGGAGACCCGTGGCTCGTTTCCAGTGTTTGAAGCCATGCATTCACTCACGACGATTTGATTTTCTAAATTTATGAAGAAATAAATGAGTTTATGTTTATAACCTATCAATGTAGCTCATTTTCATAAATGAAAAGGCATATGGCTGCATCAGCTTATTTGAAAAAAAATTGATTTAACACTGGATTGGTCTATTTTAACACTCGTGGGCTACCGTAGGCATCTGATAATATATATCAAGCAGGTCTTGTGACTGAGTATAAAGTTACAATGACAGATTTAGAAGAAGCAGTGTATTCCTTTTCAAATAAATATAAGTTCATTTAAGAGCAGAGCAAATATTAATGTTAATTCTGAAGGTCAAACGACAATGGATAATACTTATAACACTTTTGATAAATCACAAAACTCAACATAAAAAACAATACTCACATTACAATATTATCACATTGAAAAATTGAGTGGATTAAACAACAAATTTCAAAACTTGAAATTGTACTGTAATCCCACTTTCACTTTATAATGTACATGTATGGGGCGCTTTGTGTGATACAATACGGAAAGAAAATTTAAAGTTGTACAAAGAGTCCACGATCGGTAAAGAAATGACCTTAGAATGAAGAAGCAAATCAGATGAAACCAACAGGAGAGAGATTAACTAAATTTTGTCATTTAAGGTAATCCGATCCTCAGGTTCTAAAATTCAGCAGTGAAGTAATTGAAATTTCAAAATGTCCAAAAAATGTCTCTGAATTCACTAAGTCATGTTTATTTACCCATGGTATTTCTTCAAAGTTAATCATTATATAGCTGATCATATTATAAAGGAAAAATTATCAAATTTCAAATATATTTTCAGGAAACGCGAATGAAGCACCATTTACGTATTTTCTAATTGAAAATTGATCAACAAATAATAATTATATTTTAGTATTTAAAAAGTATAAATATCCCGCCATTCGGAGAAAATTCCATTTTTTAAATACTTCTACAATATATGTATTTACATCTTTGCTAAATCCAAACTTTTGACAGCACCAGACCAAGGGTTTGTGAGTAGCGGATTAGAAACCCTTGGCTAGCGAAGATGATGTATATAAAGTTAGTTCTTTTATTTACTTCAGTTGTTATGTACTAGTGTAAAAAGCTTGTGTTATCATTGCAAAACACCATAAATCACTTCTAATTTCATATCATGTTAATAAGCATTGGTATCTAAGGCTAGACTAAAAGAAATTCTATTTCTCTCAAACTGTATTTATTTTTTGTACTTTTATGGGGTACAAATATCAACTTAAAAAAAAAACACTCAAAGACCTCAGAAAACCTTGAATCATATTGAGATGCATGAAATGGATATTGTTGCATGAAAAAAAAAAATCAATTTTAAGCTTAATTTTTATACTTTTAGAATTAAATACCGTAATAAATTTAAGAGTTATCATTCCTGGCTGAGGAGCGAAAATCCTAAGTGCACTTTACCGACCATCTTTTTAAAATAATGGTTCCGCATACTCTGTTGAACAACCCGATGAACCATCTTTCTGTTTAGTATGAAGTAAAGGTTCATAGGTTAAAGATGTTCACCCCTCAGCCATGATCAATACCTGTTGAAAATAGCATTTATTTGAAAAAAAGTTCTAAGTTAAGGCTAGAAATTAAAATCTGTTCATGTAATGATTTTCATTTCAAGTTTCTTAATATAATTCAAAGTAGTCTGAAGTCTGAGATGGTCTTTAGGAAAGTTTTAAAAATATATATGCTTCCCCTTAAGAGACCAAAAAAGACAAACATACATGTAAAGCAAAATCCATTTAAATCTGCTTTGCATTAATTATTTGCATGAAATGAAATCGAAAGTGTTCTGTGATACATTTCTTTGTTTTTTATCTTGAAATGTATTTTCTAATCAATTTCTTTCTACTATAAATATTTTCTTTAAATGAATATTTTATGAAGAACATATTCGAGATTTTTATATTTTCTATAAATATAAGGAACTTTGATGGAAATTCCATTATTTTGTCAATTAAAAGCAACATTTTTTCAGCATTTTCCCTTAATTGCTGATTTAATTAATTAACCTGTGGGATGTACAATTTTATATGTCCTGTGGTTCTGAAGACTAAATTCAAGATCATTCCATTTGTCTGTACACCTGAGACAAAGGCTTGAAAGTGATCTCCAATGTGAAAGTGATCTCCAATGTTAAAGTGATCTCCAATGTTAAAGTGATCTCCAATGTTAAAGTGATCTCCAATGTTAAAATGAAAGATGGTCATATGTTTGCATTCCAAAAACTTAATTTAGCAGAAATTATGTTTTAGTGCCTTTTACGATGCTTTTATAATTGTCCACAAACTTAAGTACGAGCAAATATATGATTATTAATAAAATACACATGTATTCATACTAAAGAGGCATGTCTCCAATTAAATGCACTAAATTATGATCATGCTAATCAGTTGGTAAGTATGAATGTGTTATTTTTTCCAAAAGCGTTATTTATGCATTTAGTTTTCTGAGAATGTACTGTGAGTAAAAAAAAACTGTTTCATTTAAAAGAATTACTAGCATTTAGAGTTAATCACCTATATCAATGTGTGTTGAAGAGTGAAGACAACACTAATAAAATGCTAAAATTTTCAAATATATCAAAATATGCACAAATGTACCGGCCATACAACTTTAACGACAGCATGCCATTACTGGGGAAAACATTAGACAGATATCATTTGAAATACATGTATATATATTGCAAAGGCCTTTGTTTCAGGACGATAAGAAACAATTGCATTCTAAATAACATGCACAATTACACAGGTACACAAATTAACTACATCATTGGATGATAATGATCGTTGGAGATGGATTTTTTTCCAGCATTAATATGAATGCCACCAAGCACTGTCCATGCAGTCCTGTCTTACAACTTTTTGTTGTGAATATAAAAAGTCAATGGTTTCTCTTAAGTTTATTATCAAAATGTAACGAGAAAAAAAGACACAGAAGATAACAAGCAAAAAGAAAACAACAAAACATTAACAGCATATAAATCAGTTTGTTCCAATTGTTACACAAAAAAGCCAATAAGAAACTACCATAAAAATTCAACAATAGATGACCATATCAAGATTGTTGAACATTAACACTGTCCACAAGGGTAGTTCCATAAGATGGGGACTAGAGTGGCATCTTGAATTTATTTAGCTAGAAAACTTCTGTGTTTCAAATGTAACTTTTTAAACAAGCCCCCTCCCCCACTTTTCAAAATTGTGATAAACCCTTAAAGTTTGTCATTTCAGAACTGAGAAGATTCTTGTACCCCTTTTTAGAATTTAACTTTTTTCTTTCTATTTATGGTTATAAATCTGAGTTGTGATTTTTCCCCTTCCTAAAAAAAATATGAATCCCAGAACTACACAAGAATTCAAAACAAGCTATACAAAGGCACTGCACATATGGCTATTCAACAAAGAAATAACCATTCACATGGATGGGAAATCTGTTTCACTTTGTAAGACTACTAATTTAATGCGTTTGATCATTTTGATGTGCACGATCTCTCTGTAATAAAAACAACCAGAAGTCTCTGATAAAATTGCAGCTCTATTGGTTTGTACTTATAACAAAGAAAGAGAAAAGTAATACTTAAGACTTGAAACTTTGCAACAGCAATAAATAGAAAGAATAATGATCCTTGGTTTATTCTCTTTATTGCATCATTCATCGAAATCAAAAACTGATAAATAGAATTATTTGACTTAATGTAGTCTACTGGTGTGCCAAATTGTAATAAAGTTGGACCAAAACTGTAGTAGAAGTGTTTTAAAAGTATTTCACAAAAAATGCTATTTTTAGTAACCATGGCAAGACCATTCATTGAAATCAAAAACAGATATACAAAATTATGTATCTTAGTGTAGTCTACTTGTGTGCCAAGTTATATCATTCTGAAATCAAACCAAAACTGTAGGAGGAGTAGCATTTTGAAAAATTGTCTACATACGAACAGACAAACAATGGACACTTTACTATCACATAAGTGACTGATCTCTGACCAGTAGAGCTAACAAGAGGCCCAAGGGCCTTAACGGTCACCTGAGTACAATACAACAATTTAGAGGATCCATAGAGTATTAAAATGAAATGAAAGGTGAAGCTTTGTTGCCCAAAAGCAAGAAAAATAGGGTGATCAGGATCAACAAAATAATTAGTCTACTATTCATTAACAGTTCATAAATTAGGTTCTAATCTGTTCCCCATTTATCACTATCACCATACAGTATATTAACAAACTATCAGTGCTTTTGTACTATTTTAATTCCTTGTTGTAAACTCTTACATTGGCCTCTCTTGGTCTTTGATGAACATTTAATAAGACAAGTTATTTTTGTCTCATTTTTATTTATCTATTACTTACAAGTCCACATGATCATTAAAACTATGGAAATACTTTTTGTATTATACAATAAAAATTCTTGCATAATTCTCTTATTCTATTAATTTTTCAAGTACATTATTTACAATGATTAATTATCAAAAGTAAACGGCAAAGGGGAATAACTCCTCTCAGTAGAATGCAAATTAATTGAGCCCTGGCTAGGACTAGAACACTTGACCAAATGGTCCAGATGTTCAAAAATCTGGTAAAAATACCCTTCCTTATTACAACTTTTACCTTTTTGCCTCTGATATGCCCAAGTGCAGAGAAGATTTTTAAAGAAATAATGCATTTTCAATACAGATTCACTATATTATCAATAGAGCCCCCCCCCCCCCCCTCCTCCCCTTCACCACCGAGAAACACCAGAGCCTCTCACCCTGGGACCAGAAGTTTCAAGTTTGCTCATCATAAGTAATCACTTTGTTTAACTGCTTAACATTAAGGAGCAGACAGGATCATTTAATAGAATTAATGCATTTTCACTACATTATCAACAGCCCCACCCTTATACCAGCACATCTGACCCAGGGGTCATGCAATTCACTACTCTGGAAGAAGCACTCTTGCTCATCATAACTATATACTTACCTTCTTTGCTTTTTAACCAGAAGCAGAAAAGAATATTTTAAAAGAAATTTTGATTTTTCACTATATAATCAATAGAGCCCCCCCCCCCCCCCCCACACACCTTTTGACCAGGACCCTTGACCCCGGGGCCATGAAATTCACAATTTTAGAATAGGCATCCTTGCATATCATAACAATGTACTTAGTTTGTTTAAATAGTACCCAGGGGCAGAGAAGAAGATTTTCAAAGAAATAATTCACCTTCACTGTAGGAGCTATATAGCCCCACCCTAGCACAAGAACCCCTGTCCCTGGGGCCATGAATTTCACAATTTTGGAAGAGGTGTCCTTGCTTATCATAATAATGTACTTAATTTGTTTAAATAATACCCAGAAGCAGAGAAGAAGATTTTTAAAGCATTAATGCATTTTCACTATATAATAAATAGAGCCCCGCCCTAACATCAGAACCCCTGACCCAGGGGCCATGAAATTCAC